AAATACGTATAATAGGTATACAAAGATTGATTAGCGTTACACTAAACAACAAATATTACTTATTCGGTTAATTTTATAATTTTAATCAATATCTACGTATTTTTCTCGCCTACGCCGTAATTAAGTTATTACATAGGTATTTTCACGGGGGGGAGATATGGGGGATAGATCCCCCTCAAGTTCTTTATTTTCCTAACTTTAATTTACCAAACCTAACCTACCCTTACGGCTTATTATGTAACCATTTTTTTTCATGCCTCTCCATTGAAATATCTTGAGAACGCCTCTGAGTTATTATGTTACTTCATTGCTCGTTTGTAAATAATTATTATTTCTATTTGGTTTAATATTTTTGCAATATATGAATCACATACAGTACCTATATATTATATTTTCTATGGATGTGAAAAAAAAACTAAAACGTGTTTGAGTATTAATCATGTCTTATGTAAAAATGGTGTAATATAAAGAACTAAATAAATTAAATTATTTAAATTTGTCAGTAAGTTATTATATATTTCCTAGGAAAAACTATTGATACCACTCCCATTCGGTTTCAGACTAAGAACATTTAAAAGCCCTCGAACAATATTTTTTAACACACGCTCTATCTTCAAAGTATGTAGTTTTAGCAAAGAATTATAACCAAAAAAACCTTTGCTGTAAAACGAATATACTCTTTAATTAGTTTTGAATTCAAAGTTATGTATAATGGTTATCACCATCAATGTAAATTAATTAAATGCAGATGGTATCATTAACAGCGATCTGTTCTTGTCGTCACTCATCAATACTTAACTTGTATATTAAAGAACTTTTACTTATTTCCATTTTTTCGCTCTTTTTTCATTATGACTTCCGCTTAGTGTGATTAGTTCGAAATACTTGTCAGCCTGTTTGACAAGTATAAATAGTCTGTCACTTTTAGTCTGAAAACACATCACATTTTTGTTAACAATAATTCATATTTAACGTAGTTCAAACGTAATTGAACTTATCTCATTTATTATTCTTGTTATGGATTTTTTTTTTTAGTAGATATAAAAATTATTTACTTCCTATTAAATACACAAAATTTGATTTTTTTTTTTTTTACTATTCACATTTTTTTTATGACAAATAATTCTAATCTAATATTGTCAATTATTATTGTCTTTGAAATTTTAACTACAATTCAATAAACAAAAAAACAATGTGATTTAAAATTAAAAACCAGTATAATAGATAATATACAACTTAAGTAAACAAAGAATATAAAATTAACAATGGTCTTGTCATATACAAGAGTATATTTAAGCCAACAAAAACTGTTAGGTATTCTGTAATGCATAAAACTTTAAATTGTAAATTTGTAACCTATTATATTTTTTAAGGTATACATAATATAGTCACTATACATTGTGTTGGAATATGACTAAGTATAATTTGGAGTCTATAATTTGCCGCATCAATATTATTTATTATTTTGTGTAATGCAGGGATTCTTATTGGCCATTAACTAACTTAAATCTCATCATTACTTTAAAATATTAATAATAAATTTATTAAAATATATTATATAATAGAAGTAGAGTGTCTATAGTCTTCTATAAAAACGTTGTATAATAAATAATAATTAAACTGCCAAAATCAATAGTTTACCAAAATAATTTTAAATCTCATTGTTTATCATGCATAAACTAATCTAGGTAATAATTAACCATTTAAGTCAAAAGAAATTTCGTTAAATCATTGTATACAAATTATTATTCAATAAAATAAATATGATTAAGATTGAAAAAATTAACATTACGTATAATTTATTTAAATATATCATTATAATTAATATTATTTATAATTTAATCTTTCATTATTTTCTACTGCAAAAAGAAATTATAGATGTATAATATATTATGTTACTAATCTTAAAAATATTTTTATGTAAATAACATTTAAAAAAAATATATATATATAACCCTAGTTTTCGAGGGTTAAAAAAATATGATAATTATAATTTTAATTAAATATGGAGGAACGTTTATTACTGCAATCATAATAACTCACTTAATGCTTAATGTTGTTTACTAAATATTTATAATTTACTTTGAAAATATTTTCACAGTTAATAGACCTGAACATTATTTAGAAATTAATAAATATTAATTAAAAACATTTTGTTCGCCTATTATGCATAATAAATAATATGTTTTTTAGAATGTATCAAATTTATTTTTAGCACTGCTTCATAGGTTTCTATGTCGATAGATACTGGGGTCTTAGGTACTTAAGTTTATTTTGTAATCATTATTCATCTCTAACATAATAAAATATGTGTTCGTTCGTAATAGAAAATAAAAACAGTTTATTGTTATTGTGTAATTACTTTAACCCTCATTTATTTAAAAATTCTTTTGGATTTTTTAACAGTAATACATAAAACACACTGTGCCGGAAAGGCGTTTTATTATCTCTCATCGTTCAGCAAAAATAATGATAAAATTACACAGGTACTAAGTTTAAGAATTTATATTATAATACTATACAATATGTTTATGTATAAAAAATAAGAACGTTTAAAAAACTTTTTCTTTGTGTAGAGCGATATTTAAACGAGTGATTATGTATTATATACATTTTAAAATATGGATTATTTATCAAGCTGATATTTATGAACACTTCTCAAGCATGGAAATATTATTTCGAAGAACCATATTCTAATGAATATAATAAAAAATAAGATGTTGTCGTTTAAAGCATAAATAAAAGAAAGTCTGTCTACAACGATGTTTTCCATCACAAATTCTCACGCAATACGCCTCAAATAATATTTTTATTATCTAGTATTTATTTATTTATTAATTGAAATTCAGTTTTAAAAACAATTTACTATATGTATTTCCACGGTTGGTAGTTATTACAGAGTAATTCTTTCAAAATATGAAATTAAAAATGCATGTTGTCAATCAAAAAAGTAAAAACTTTAAATCTTATAACAATGAAAAAGATTGAAAAATATATTATTATTTTTAAAAAATGTTGTTTTATTTTGATAGAATATTATGTAAAAATAATATTTTTGAAAACGTTAATAGATTTTAAAGTAATAAATGTTGTTCGATAAAAAAAAATCACGATATATATAAATATTAAATACATATTTAATCTAATTTTAAACATGGACGTATAATATTACAATAAATTTAGACTAAGTTCAATTATAAATATATATATATATATAATATTTATACAACTATACGTGAAATTACACTAAATTTTATCTAGCATTCTTATTAGTTTTAAGCTTTATAGACTTATATTAGTGTTTAGTTTTTACATTTTCTTTCTTTTCATTAATAATTTAAAAACTTTATAATATATTAAATAAGGCCTTTAATTAGACAACTAATAAAAATATTTTTTTATGTATGTCCATTTTCCACAGGTTACAACAGTTATAAGTATACATTTTATTACTGATATGCATATAACAAAAATTAATTTAATTATGTCAAGTTATTTTTTTTTTAACCATTATATTTATAAGAACAAATAATTTCACAAGCTATTATATTATATTTCTATTGTTAATGGAAAGATACTCTTTCATAGTAACCATCAAAAAAAATAATTTTTACACGATTTCGATATTATATTAAAAATTTACATCGATAATTTGTTATTTCGTTTAAGAAAACATCACCCACATGTCGTCGGTTTACAATTCATAAATATTTAAGTATCTAACATAAGCAAATATGTGTTCAGTAGAACAATTTTGGTGTAATTATTTGTTGGCTTAGCGTAAATTAAGTTATCATAGAAATTAAAAGTAAGAACTTCATCATTTTATATTTATACGATATTTCATTTTTTGATCAAATTGTGATCATTTTTAAATCATAATATTGTACATTCTTACTTATAGCCTATTTGAAAATTAAATTATCGTTAAAAACTAATGTACAAGGATAGATAATATTTTTACCTTAAAATTTTTTAATGAACTAATTCACTCTTAGATAAAAGCAAACAATTTGATTCTGCTTAATACTATTTCGGTATGTTTTACGTATGTTAGACTGAGACAACACATGTATTGTGACGTACTGACGTCCCCTCAAATGATGCAGCAAATAATATATTATACTAAAAAACTTTAATATTTTTATTGTAAAATGTAACAATAGAAATAAATTCTATCAACTTAAATGCCATTTAATTCAATTTAATAGTATTTATTGATAGGTAACTGCAGGATTTGATTATTCACGTAACGTAATATCTAACTACCTGTCAGCCAACTTTTAAGTATTCACAGCAATCTCTTTGAATCACTGAATGTCTACAAAAATAGTTTTCAAATTAAACATGTTTTGTAGTTCAAAATAGCGAATAAAACTTATATGTATTTTTAAATTAATTAAATAAAATGTGCGTATTACAAATTTACCAACAATTAATTATCATCAATAAATTTTATTATTATTACAGTAATATATACTTACTTAATATACATTAGTTACATATTAAAATTATTTTAAACTTTTTTTTTCATTCTACTTATATATTTTTTTTTTTTTTTTTAAATAGGTGATTGTACTATGTATATATACATTTGGATCGTTTAGAGTTTATTCTTTTTAAGCTGCAGCAGACGTTTTTTACATTATTACTGATTACAAATCCGCTAGTATAATACGATTAAGTATTAAATAGATATATTGTATAAAATGATTTTCGACATTATATTAATGTAAGACGATTTAACAAGATTCAGTAAAACTTAAAATAACTCTAAGAGTTTTGCTTCGTCTTGACCCGGCTGTGACAGCGGATTAAATTACTACGGTCCCCATTTATTGGACCTGTTGAACATTTTTACAGAACTATTACCTTCTTTATTATGGTTACTGCCCGTCTAACCATTTAACAACATACCTACTACCTTGTACAAACTTATACACCAACTTCACTATATTCTCAATGTTTCAATGGCTATTTTTTTTTTTTGTGATTTACAGCGGGAACGTCGAGAATACTGAGTGGTCGTCTGAAGAGCTCGGGTGGGACCACCAGCAGTCGTCGGCAGCAACAGAACAGGCGCAAACAGACGACGGGGTGAAGAACAAGAGGTATCTGCTTCTGCCGGCCGTGGACAACATATTGTTGCGCAGGCAGTACCCTCATTTAGCAACAAATAAAATTTAATCTAATACTAAGTTACATGCTTCGCCGACATATACAATATTAAACGAACGTAATGTTTTCACAATAATGCATAATATAATAACATAATATAACGTCATACTTACCTCGTTATATCAAATATAATATTCACTACCCGTCCGGTACGACGGTTGCACACTTTTGTAATACACAATAAATTATCGTCATGGTAAAAGTATTATGATGTCGTGCACTATCGGACTTATCGGACGGCTAAGTACAATAATCGACAAAACCTTTTTATTGGAATTTCTCAAATTATAAGACAATAACTATGTGTGTTTCTTAATAATTTAATTATCGTACGTAAAACATATAATAATAATAATATGTAATGCCTATGTTGACATATTATTTAGCTTATGCCACGTTATAAAAAAAAAAAAAAAAAAAAAAAAAAAATAAGAATCAACATTTAATAATAGATATAGAAAATTACAATTCCCTATATGGCTATTATATTGTAGGCGTTTATCTTCTATTATAATGAACATAATATAAAAATAAAGTTATTTTAAGTGTAACATAAACGAAATGTCTTGATTATTTATAAGTATACCTAATTTATGCATTGTTATTGTTTTTATTTTGAATAGACACGGAATAGGAGGAGAAATAACTTTACCTATAACGATTAATCGAAATATACAACCCATACAATGCAGTTAACTATTCAGAGTTCTCTGAGTTATGGCCAGAGTTCTATTATATTTGCATTCGAGAGTTCATCTAAAAGAAGGGGAGGGAAATTTTTAATGAAATCGCGTATATTAAGTTTATAATATTTAAAAAAGCAGTAAGGTAACTAAGAATTTGATAAAACATATTTTAATAATAAATTTAATTCTACAAAATAAGATTAATAATTATTTTAATAATACCTATGATTATTTTTTAACGCATTTTTGATATTAGCTATGATTTCAATTTAATAACATTATAAAAGCTTCAATTCAATTAAGAATAATATTAAAACTTAGATTTGGAAATTAATAACGAGGGAGTCGAAACAAATTATACTTCAGAAAGGGTGTAAGTTATGTGGAAAACCATAGAAAAAAAAATATAGACATCGTAACTTAACAAATAGGGATAATTGCATTTAGATATATTATAAAGAAACTTTAAAACAATCTCTATGATCCAGGCCCGATTTTAGAAAATGGTTAGTACCAAAACAACGTTTTTAGATTACAAGTATCGGTTATAAAATAGAGAAATATTGCAGAATTAGTTCAGAGTTATTAATTTAATTTTTTTATTTCAGTTTCATATAATCGATATTAATTTTATAGTTATAGATTACTATAAATTTGAAATATTCCGATGTTTCTTACATTTTTATATTTTATACCCAATAAAATATTCAAACTAAATTTAAGCTATTTATAGGTTTTATAAATATTTCTGTGTTTTTTTAACTATTAATAAATATTTAAGCCTGGTAAAAAAGAATACAAATTAATAGAATATCCCACATAAGATATTTTTTAAGGTATTTAAAAGTATTAAAAAATAAATATAGACATGATTTTTTTTTATTCATTCAAAATTCAAATATTGATAAAATTGTATAGATACCTATTTAAAAAACAATATTTTTTTTTTTTTTCATAACATCAAAATATTATTCGTGAAGACTTTAAGTTTCAAATATATTATTATATTTATGTAGCTATCTATTCCATAAAGGCACAAACCTATTTACACGTTCAAACCGTTCTACAGTAAGTTGGTATTAACTATTAACTTGAAAGTTAAAATATGATATAAATATAAGTAAGATATTTACTATTATTTACCACAGTTAAATGATATAATGAAACAGATTTTTTAGAAAAAAAATAATTCAATCTACTATAGTAACTATTAGTAATGGTAAAATAAATTACTATAAGAAGTAAGGATAATAAGTATAACTAGGATGTAGAATTATATAATAAATAATCCTTATATTTTAATCTAATAATATAGGCTAATAGACCAACTACGTTCAGAATTGTTTTTCGTTAATATGTAATTTTCATTTAATTAAAATTTAACCAGTCCATATAAGTTACCTACTCAAAAACGAAGTACTCTCGACACCTAATTTACAGCACAGCGGTTACAATTACTCTTTCACTTTTAAATTTTAAATTTTTTTAACATTTAAAATGTCTTCTATTATGCAAAATTGTACATACTAGATTCTGAGCAGAACGACAAATGTACTGATTTTACAATGATTTTTTTTTTTTTATGTTTTGTGTGTGTGTGTGTGTGTGTGTGTGTGTGTGTGTGTGTGTGTGTATTTTTAATTTTAGTGATTTTTTCAACAATCTTCGAATGTCCTTTGAATGATCATTCATCGATGAACATAATAAACATTAATTAATTCATTGAGTTTACACTTAGCTCTGATAATGTGTAACCACCAGCTATGTTTTAATCAAAAATTTACTTCAAAGAAAAAACAACACCATTGTTTTGTAAATTATGAATACCACAATGCGTTATTGTATAATAAGGTACCAAACCAAAAATAATTAAGACGTCAGATAATTTTGTATTAATATATTAATTTTTCAAAAATTTACATACAAATTAATAGGCAGTTATACGTTTAACAAGCATTGTATATAAATTCATCGGCTCCAAAATAATTCGTATCGCCGGCTGGCACATATTATATTATTATTAATAGATTAACTATTTAAGAAAATGTCGTAGATGATAATGCTTAAGCCAGCCATGTAATACCATTGTTTTTATTTGACGCATAAATCTGGTTGGGATTTTAGTCAAACACGGCGACTGAAGACTGAAGAGCGTTTACACGAGTATCTACATGAACGCGCATACATGATAATATAAATAAAAAATATATGTGCATCTTAATTCTTAATGAATATCACGTGATAAACGTAATAGATAAACGAGAATACAAAACGTTGTATAAAAAACAATCACTAAAACATATTAGATATATACCTACATTGACATTGAGTTAACGCCTCAATGGCATTATCCATTATCCTATGATTGTGAATAATATTGTGATTAGCGTGTACACTATACAATGCAGGCACGTCGTCAAGGGGGAGCCTTAGGGGGCCTGGCAACCTAAGAAAAGTAAGTGGTCCCAAACTGGCCCCCTTGATTTTATTTTTAAATATTTTAAATATTATTGCGTTTAATTGTCTCAAATTCTGAATATATATTATATTATTCATATAATTAAAGATCGAATAACAAAAATTTAATTTTAAGATTTTATTTTATAAATTAAAATAAAATCACGCAACAATTTGAGATAAGAATAAAACAATAATACTTCTAATAGATTGAAAAATAGAAATTCCAAATACGGTTATCAAACGTACATTGATGAACACAACTACGGACATTACAATAGTGAACCTATATAAACGATAAACATGCCTAAAAAAATAACAATATATTATTATTCTCTATTGAGTTTGAGTATTGACTATTGATTCATTTAAACACGCAGCGTTGTAGACTATAGTAGTTAACAAGGCACGATAAAATAACTTAAATAAATTATTTTAATAATCAAAAAAACTTGAAAATCGAGAGGTAAGTGCAATAGGTAATTATATATAGATACATTTTATATTTACTTATTATCGTAATTATTTCCTTATTAGTTATTAACTAATGTTAATAATGCATTAATGTAATTTTGGATATTCTAGCATCAGGTAATAGGTAGACATTAATCTGTATTAATTAATAGATACATGTTGGTACCCTACTTCATGTTTTACATTTTTAAGACATTTTATTCTATATATAATATTGTCAATAAATTTAAGTACCTACCTATTTTATTTATTTTTATTATTAAAATGATTATTATCATGTGTTTTATTACGTTATAATATGCTTACTGTTCATCTCAGCACTTAAACTATCTGTATTAAGTATAATATTATAAAATATGAGGTAGTACGATTATATATACCTATTTCTGAACTTTTCTTATTTACCATTTAGTACATTATTTTAAAAATTTAATTTAATTTAATTTAAAAAAAAAAATTTTATTCATGAAATTTTGATTTACCTAATCCATAATATTATAATTAATGTTTCATACTAATTGATATTGGTAGTTGATACTTAACTAATAAACAGACAATACTTTGTAAAATTTAGTATTTTTTTTTATAGGCATTGTGTAACAAGAAGAGGAGTGATATGAAGAGTACAAAAAACAGAAAGGGGCCAAAAAATGTCGGCTCCCTTATGGAAAATGCCTGGTACAATGTACAGTTAATAATAAATAACGATATTATTGTTTATCTATGAATAGTTAAAAAAAAAATAAGAGTGGTATAACAGCCAAAATAGATATTAAACATCGAAAACAACGAAAACGAAAAAAAAAACAACAAATAATCAGGAATGATTTTATGAGCGTAGATATTAAAGTGAACAAATTATTAGGTATTATATTATATTTCCTTGTTTTTTTAAAAAAAACAATTTTGAATAGATTTATTTACCTACCTACCATAGTTTACTATACAAATATCTAGGTTTAGGTATGTACATCATACATAAAATAAATTATTGTATTATAACGATCATTTATATCATTATATATTATTAGATACCTATTAGATAGATACCGAATTTGGAAAAATAATCCTGCTTACTGGCGGTGGATGTGTGTTGTAGATACGCTCTACACTTAACACTACCTATCTCAATTATTTTGTAAAATAAACTATAGATATATTTCATGATAACATTATACAAAAATAGCGTATTACCTATTATTATAAGATATTATTTCGATAGTATTATGAGATATTATTAATTATTATCAGTATAATTATTAATTAATTGCTTTCTTTGAATTTAATTTATATATATATATATATATATCAAAAAGAATTGAAAAACGTTCAACTTTGTAATATGAAATTTAAAAAATGTATGTATTTAGAAAAGCATGATTCCAAAAACGATAACGATTATAAATAGTAAAAAGTATAATTGTCTTGTATTATTTATTACTTATTAAGTACCTATTTAAAAAATAATATTTTCAAAATCATTAATAGTTTTTTAAATAATGATTTTCTTACGTTAAAAAATCACAATGAATAATGTATTATACATAATCATTATTAATAAAATATGTATTTAGATTAGCAGGCTGAGTGAAACAATAAAATACAGTAAGTATGTATATGTTTATTTTCATTATTATACATATGTTTTTGTCATTTATTATGGATTTATATCCATTAACAATTAGTGTTAGATTTGGAACAAATCTGCAGGATAACGACTCCATAAATTTAAACTTTGAACACATGAATATAAAATTAAGAACAATGGGAATCTAGAAAACTTATCTATATAGTGCTTAGAAAGTCAGAAAACTGATTTAATTCAAGTTAAAAGAGAAAAAATTTTTTATGTTATTTCTATTGTATATGTGTATAATTATATAATTTTATAATTTCCACTGCATTTCAGTGGATGAACATGAGCAATATTTGTGCAGAGATCGTTTGAGAAAAAGATGCATACAGCAAATCAATAACAATTATTACCGTTAGAAATAGAACCCTTAAAAATATTACATTACATATTTTTCACAGTATTACAATATATTATATACTTTCATAGAACATTTAAAATAATACTTGTTTTTTTAGACTCTATTCAAATAATAATCTTAGTAAAACACATTTATATTATAATTTATAATATACAAATCAATTTAAATGTTTTAATGTCTTTGTACTTAAAATATTTTTTTTAACAATTATATTTAAAGTAATAATTATAATAAAACACATAAATATTATATATGCAACTTAAATGTACAATAATCAAATCAAATAAATTCAAACAATATTAATTTTGCCAGTATTATTAAATAAATTAGTACATACGTAGCAATTATTCAACTAGTTTTGCCATCTCTAATAGTAAAGTGTATAAAATAGTAATAAATTATATTTTCATTGTATTGCTATTTAAAAATGCAGGGGTAATTTTTTACCACTATATAATAGATATTTTATTAAACATAATATTATATTCATTTTAAATTTTAAGCTTCCGAAAATAATAATTGTTACTTGTAAATACCAAGGATACCACACATAGAACATAAATAAAAAAAAGTATGAAACAATTATTAATGAAACCTCGAAAGTAATAAACTGATATTTTTGAAACTGGAATGTTTAAATGTTTGGAAAATGTATGGAAATTAAAATTAGTAAATTTAGAAAAATCAAGTTTTATTAGATTTAAAGTAAAATCACATACAGTACTTACTCTATTGAACAATAAACTAAGTAGTAATTTTACTACACAAAATTGATTTAAAGTAAAATTCAGTTATTAAATGTCTAAGAATTATTCTTATGAATTCATTCTTTATTAAAAAAATTATAACACAATTTTAGAATAAATTAGTTAATTTATTTATCACCATGAAACAATACTTTAGAGTTGGCATCACCGTGAAATAAAATATAATATAATAAAAGATTAAAAAAAAAAACAGCATATTAATTGATAATAAAATATTTAATAATAGTAAAATTATTATATGCTGGTGGAATAAATCTTAACAATACAGTGAAAAAATATTAAAATTCAGTTAGCGTAACACATAGATGATATCTCATAAATTTATAATAATTAATATTAAAATGTTCAACTCATTTTACTATTAAAATAAAATAACAAACTTTAAAAAATGAACTATAACATGCGATGTTTTTAATTTTAACATAATTTATAATTAAAATACAACCACTAAAGTGCCATTAAGGAATTAACCAACAAAATTTGGTTTCAATTGATAATAAATTACTTATACTTAATACATAATAGAAGAATGGTAACTTTCTGGAAAACCAAGATAATAGTTACTGGTTGTCGATAACACGCATCCTTAAACAGTAGTTAAATAAAGAACCCTCATCACTCTTCAGTCTACATGAAAATCTTTTATTTTAATATCTTGCACAATAGCTTCATCCCATGGTCCATAAATGTTGTCTTTGAACGAATGCCATTTAACAAAATAATACGGGCACATCAGATTAATGAACAATACAGTGAGTATAAATAGTCCACTCATTAATGACGACACCCTTATACACAATACAAAGGTAACAGTTACAAATGACAATAAGATGGTAATGGAAGATTTGATCGGCGATAAAAGTATCGGTGATACAGCAAAACACTGTACTGCTATTGTGATAAACACAAACACATGGAAAGCTGTTTGTAGTCTTGAGCACAGACAAATTGAACCGAATAAGGCAGCATTCAATGACAGCGATGTTGACACTATAACTGCTGAAACCCCGTAGTCGAAAAATACAAGGTGTACGCACATCATTACTGTAGTTGTGGCATATATGGTGTCGGTACTTATAGTTTCAGTGAGTGTTTTCAACACGGGCGATAAAACGTAACCAGATATGACAAATGCAAACGCAGACTTCATCAACCATAACGGAATCGTCTTACAATTTTCATAAAGTAAGAGGTAAACGATAAAACTAAAACTTGTAGTAGAAATGAGTAAAAATAGCGGAGAAATTAAATTGCAATTCAGTGCATAAAAAGATAATGCAAAAATTACCACTATGCATAATCTTTGTGTAATTAAACCAGCTCCCAAGATTGCTTCCAAAAGTGTAAGTTTTCTTACATGAAGGTTTTTCCTCAATTCTTCTAGGAAAGACTTATCGGTGTAGTTATCTGGATAACCTTCATTAGAATAAAGGTTCTTTTTCCATGGTTTAAGATTTAGGTGACCATTACAAATAGTTCCATTTTGATGTTTTACTTTAGTTGAATATTGGGATGGCTTGACAATACCATTATCTAAAATAAAATAATTTTATAATAAAAATGTAATCAGAAATATATTCAAATCAACAAAATGTTCAGAACATTCCATACAAAGTATTAGAGAAATTAGATAATTTAATTTTAAATTAAATAAAAACTGTCTTTTAATTTAAAAAAATTAGCTTGATAAGATTAATTTTATATGCCCTAAAAAGGTTAAATTATTTTAAGGTTATTCTTTTTATATAAAAGGGTAAGAATAATGTAATATAAAGAATAGAAATTAGACACTTAACAGCATTTAATTGATTGAATTACTTAGGTATAGCCTAAAATTACATTAAAATTTATCATAATATTAATAATAAATTTAAAATTCCTAAATTATCTGGAAAATATAGGATTCAATATGAATTGTTACAGACAATTTCAATATTTTTAAGTCATATAGGTAGTAATTTTTTTTAATTTTTTAATTTTTAAAATTTTTCAAATTATTCAATTAAAAATATTATTAGTCTAATTTTCCAAAATAAATTATAAATATACAATAAAAACACAAAAGTTATTATTATAAGTGATATTATCACATTCTAAGAAAAAATTAAAACAAGATGTACCTAATATAATTCATCAATAATAATGTAGTAATAAATAAGCATTAAATAATGTTATCAAAAATTTCAAATAAATTTTATTTATTTTGGTTAAACAAATAAATAAAATAAATTTGTTTGAGAAAAAAAACTCTTTATAGTACACGTGGCTTTAACTATACAACGGCATACCCAGGTGATTTGTTTCTAAACACTAACTCTAGAAAAACATACGGTTTGTAGAGAAAGAAAAAGAGCATTGTATCATAACAATGAACCAATACAGCTGGTGCATATTTTATAGCATGCTCTGCTTCATCTGTGCATTAATCTACTTATTTTTCTATTTCTTTAAATGTTGAGGTTTTATTTCTATTTTTAACTTAAACCTTTAAATCTACATACAATGAAGTACAATATGATAACTGATGGTACCAAATAAATCATTTTAAGAAAATTAAAATGTATCATTAACCTATAATCTATTAAATCAATCATTGTTATTTATGAGAACCTATTTAATAAAATATTGAATTTTTAAAACTTAAATCAACTAATACACTAAATCATGACAAAAACCAAAATAACACAGTGATTATATTCTATGTTTAAGCGTTTAACACTCATATAAAAACTAAATGGCTTGTACTACTATACAATAGGTAAAAATTGTATATATTAATTAAACATTACCTAAGGATATCAAACAAAACACTCAAAGCAAAGCACTGTGATCTAAAATTCAATAAATTATTTCAGTGATATAAATATATAATAAAAAAATACTATTTATTAAAATATTCCTACTTATAACAAATAAAATATAAAATATTAATTGTTGCTATCACAGTTTTTATCTTTTTCACTTAGGCTTTAATCTTCATTACTCCTATCATCATTTTTGTTAATATTTTAACTGACTAAAGTTATAGTTTTTTTTTTACTTCTCAAACCATTATACAATGGACTTGAAGATAATTTCATGTCTATTTGATATTTGAAAATGTTTTTAGTTTTTATTCCTAATTCAAAATTTTTTTTATTAGTTGTTCAATTGATAACTTGAAATAAAGTGAATAACCTATTCAAAAATACAGCTATTGAAGATTACTTGATTAAGACTAAATCCATAATTTGTATGAAATAATGAACACATAAAGATAACTAATTTAGAGATAATTTTATCCATTACATGTTTGAAGAAAACAAATGAGTATATTAAAAAAATAAACTAAAATTTTACATTTCTGAAATATTTATAAATAGTTTATTAATACAAAATTGAATTAATTTAATAATGAAAACAAGTAGCTTTGATAAGCATAACTATGATATTATTATATACCCATCCTAAGATTAAATTGATTTAATAGATATCAAAATTTTCTCAGAATAAAGAACACTCATTTTCAAATAGTAATAAAATATTTTACTGAATATTAATTATATGGGTATGAAAAAATGAACACTTTTAAACAATTTTAGTTATTTGTATAATACTTAATTATTTATTTACTTAATAATTGCTGTAATTTTAAAGACAAATAATTTTAACCACTTTTTTTTAAATTTTAGACCATAATGATAATCACAAAAAAATGATGAGATTATAAAATCATTATATTAAAAGGTGTAGATATGGTCGGTAAACTGTTTACTATAAAACTATCGGACTTTGTGCTCAACACCCGTTTCACTTACTTTTACCAGATGACAGGTACGTCGATTTGGTGACATCAGTCATACATGACATCAAGGGACGGCAGTTGAACAGAAACATGCGTGTCGCGATTCAACGGCCTCTGCAACGTGATCGGCGGCGGCAGCGGAGCCGTCATCAACTGATAAATATGCCGATGAGAACACAAACCAAATGTAAATGATCGATCACCCAAAGACGAGTCAAACATATTATTTAATATTTTGTTTACCAGCGAAGCGCACACGCCTCTGAAATCACAAGATAATCATTACTAATGAGTAATGTATGCATTGTACTTATTATCATAATATATTATTCAACATATTTTATCGCAGAAGTCGTCTGCGGTTTGAGTGATTTCGTTAATAGTTCTTCGATACAATAAAATATTTAATAATATTTTTTTATTATATTCTATCATCGACGTTTGAAGGACTCTACTGATAAGGAGGTGATAACGTTGACGACGGCGCACCATGTACCCACAAATCATGGATCTTAAAACAGGAAAAATATCGCATTTTCCATGACGTCATTTTGTGATTTATCAATTTGTAAGTAATGTACATTGTACAATAGCCAGGTAATAGGTATATAATATAATATTATCAAATAATTATGTAGAAAGATTTTTAAATTTTCATTCTGTATGGTAAATAATTATAATTTATTAATATGCACCATGGAAAATAGTTTTAAGTTTCCACAAATAATATTATTTGAATAAAATTAAATAAGTTGGTAATTACTGAGATTTTTACCTATTTTTCATTTTTGTTTATATAATCTAATCTATAAGCTATAGCCTATAACCTATTAAATGTTGTTAAAATTTAAAATTCAAATATTTTTAACGGATTATGAAAATAAAAAACAATATTGAGGATACTTGTATTAAATAGTTTACTTTATATAATTTATATCCAACAATATTTCTTTATTAACAATTTTCCAAAGTAATTTTACATTTGAATATTATATCATTAATCGACGATGCAAACAATTAAGAATCTATTAGGTAGGTACGTGTTATTAATCTGCAAATTGATTTAAATATTTAAAAAAAGTATTAAGAGAAAGGTTTGCATTTAAACTTAAATAATTAATGCAAATTAAAACAATTACTTTTTTTAAAAAACCCATTAAATTTAATCATTTGGGAAATATTAATTTGTTAAAAACCACTACCAGGATTTTACATTATCTAAATAAAAATATTTATCTTTTTATCTTACCTAGATTATTTTATTTTTGATATATAAATGGATAAATTTATTTCTTCTTTCTTTCGCGGTAAAAGAACTTATGAGGATATATCAGATGACCTTAGCCTTGGCCAACCACTAAACAGAACCCTTTTAACTAATTGTTCTTGAAACACCTGGATTTACTATCTATCTTTTAATATACCTAAAGTATTAAAATTTAAAAACTCAATAATTTAAAAAAAAAAGTAGTTTTATAATACAATGTTTATGTTTAAAAATTATAATTGGGTACTAAGTAAAAAACAAAAGGAAATTGTACTAATTTTGTTTCCAAATTAGTAAAATATATAAAGATAATTTTAAAGGAAATAAATCATAATGCTATAACCTAATACTATTTTATTTATAGAAAAATCGCCATTTTACAATTAATGCGAGCTTTAAACTGTGAAACTTTTTTAAATTATCTGTTTTTTATCTAGATAATTTTTTGGTTATCTTTATACAACAACACTGACTACTAAAATATACCTACCTAACCTACCTATATACCTACTCGTACATGATATTTGAACCGGAGTAAAATATAATTCAAAACTTTCTTTCGATGATCATTTAAATTTTATTATGAATAGGTATAGTTTTTGTTAAATAAAATTTTATAAGACGGTCTTGTAAACATCTAAGAGATAAATCTGCTATTAATAATTATTAATTTTACCTTATCTTGATAATATGCACTCCTTTAAGGAATAAGGAGTCTACTTTTTTGTAGAAAATTGCATGTTTAATAGGCGAAACTAGGTCAATTTTTTGGATAATGTACAAATTATAAAAAACTCTCAAACCCCCAGATACTATATAGTTTACACTGTATTCGTATTAAAAATAATTTTAAATGTATATTTATGCATTATTCTTCGACATGTGTAATGTGTAAAATACTATTACAGCTTAACAAAATAAAATCGTCACAACTGTTTTAACATGGTTTTTCTATTCAGTAAATAATATTTATTTAAATTAATGCTAATTCAAGACGACATAATTCAGTTTCTCAAATCAATAATGCCATTATAATTATTTTTATTCAATTGAGTACTTTTAAAATTGGACTGATCTAAGATCTAACTAGAAATAGATTACATCATTAAACATTAAACTGAAATACCTATCTAGATCATTAAAAATATTACGATCAATTATTTTCTTTAACTTACCTTGATTTTCGAGCCGAGCTTACAATTTTATTGATTTACCCGTTTTATAACATTTCAAAAACTAGGAAATAAAAAAAAAATTGTTCACATTCATTCAATTATAGCAAAAATGTGGGAATTAAAAATTATGGCACGAGGGTTGTGAATAAAATCAAAAAAGTTTACTATAAAAATATTTATAGAATATACTCAAGAGTATACCCATTCGTGAAAAACGAAGATGAACACAACACTGTAAGCATACTACATTATTTAATATTTTAAGATTTCCTATTAACTTCAATACAATACCTAACCTATACTCTATAAAGTACAAAAGACTGGCAAATCTTTAATATTCTAGTCATTCACTGATGTACCTAATTATTTATTAAAGGTTTTTACTGTAAATAATATGCTAACTATAATATTTATTCTAAATTATAATCAATGCAATAGAGTTAATAACTTATAATAGGTAAAAAAAAAATGGAAATTAATTATGTGATTAGATACTTTTGGTCACAAAAAAGACGGTTTTTAATTAATATTATAGTAATTATTTATTATTATATTCAAATACATGTGCGTTTAGGTAGGTACTTAATTTAATCAATTAATTATAAAAATTATATCTATTTGACCAAAATAAGTTGTACTAAGTTCATAATCTCACAGTTATATTGTAATAAATAAATAAAAAAAATACTATTTTACCATATTTTTTGGTGAAAATAATCTTTAAGTGGGAGTAACACAATCATAAGAAAAACTGTTCTTTTACCTATCCAACAGATAAAAAAGTTGTTATACCTGCTATAATATTACAATTATAAATATGACAATACCCTATTATTTGAACGTACGGTGCACTACAATACCATGAACTTCTAATACGCAATTATAAGTTCTTTAAAATCGTACTTCTAAGTATATCGGTAATCTGTTAATTGGTATTAGGTAGGTACTGTATTCATAGTCATTAATTCTATGCTATCAATGAACTAAGAATATTACTGTTTAATCTTCATTATAAAAAAAAAATAGGTCACCTCACAATATAAAGTTGTTAGGTATATTATATACTTAATAGCTGTTACCTGTCATAAAAATCTCTAATTAGTGGTGTAATTATACATTTAAGGAACGGAAGGGAAGGGCGAAATGTTTTAATTCTAGCTTTAATATTTTTTGAATTACAAAAAAATAGCTAAAATTGTTATAAATAAAAATCATTAGGTAATCAATGCGCTAATAAATAAATCGTAATAATCGAAACAGATGAAAATTGTGTGTGAGAAAGCCGCTGACTGCTGAGGCTTGAGATGAATCATGAATAAATAATAATGTACGTTACCTACACCCTACACGGCCTACACACTTACATATTTACAATATAATATTATATTGTATCAAGTTAAGTCTAATTCTAATATATTAGATACTAGATATCATTACGGTTATCAGTGTTATCACTGACCGGTTATCATTAATCATTTCACCCGCCACCCAACAGACATCTGTTTTGCACGTCGTCGGTGTGACTGCAACAATAATAATAATTATTAAGTATTAAAATAAAAATAATTTTAACACATTTATAAAAACATATACCACGAAAACAATAACAATATTAAACCAATCGTTTACACAGTAAAGTATAACTATATAGTATCTACAGTTAATAGTTTATGATTATTATTATAATAGCTTGACATTTTGATGGATGACAAATAAAAAATGTAAATGATTATTCATTTTAATAATAATACATCGTCGGTCGTCATCGTTCTTTCTGTCACACCGTCCCCCCCGCGCCATTTATTAACGTGCGATTACGAATTTTATCCGCAAAACTTTCGATTACCAACAATGTTCGTAATATCATTATGTTCCCATCGGACCCGTCCTAGTAAAGACGTCAAATGTTGATCCGCATAAATGTTTTCCTGGCATTGGTAATAGGCGGTGGCCTGCTGTCGTTGGGTAAGTCTGTAACTCATATAATGCGTCTGTATCGAATTTTTGTGTATCAATAAATAATAATAATGATGGTACCTAAAATTATTTCGTTGTTAAATATTTTTACCGTATCACCATTAATGGAACAAAACATAGGTCCACATACTTTTGATCAAAACAAACCGTTGTTTAAAGTGAAAATTACTGTTTTTGTTTTTTATTTTAATTACCCGCTTTTATTATTTCATTTTATAGTCTTATCGGCTCTTTTGGTGCTAAATTTCTTTGAGAAATTAGTTTTACCTATTTAAATTCAAAAAATTAAATTACTCAAAGTTATAAAATAAAATAATAATCTTACTTTATTTTTATTTTTTACCACATCATATTTACTTATTGTATTTAGTGTACAGATTGTAAATTCTCAATAAACGCCTTTAAATAAAAAAAAAAAAAATAAATAATAATCTTGAGTAAAGTTAATATTATACTATAAGTATTATGTTAAGCTTATCAAAAAATGTTCAATAATTTAAATTTGTGTTCTTAGGACTGAAAACGTATTTTTATACTACAGATTGTTGTTGTTTTGATAATAATATAATATATAAGTCAACATTAAAATTAGAATTTTAAAAAATTTTGCCACAAAATATTTTTCATAGTGTATAATTGTATAGCATTTATATATATTAGGTACCACTGTTTTATAAAAACGAATTTTAAACATGTAATTGAAACATTTAAGTGTAAATCATATCAACTATAAAATGTTATTTATATTTTGATTATTATTTCAGGAATTATCTATTGCCTTACATCAAATAATGATATCCCTAAACAAGAATTTCAACTATCAAGCAATAAAGAGTCTCAGCTATTTGGATCTGCTGAATCTGAATTCAATATACATCTTATTAATAAGTTGAAAAAGGACCTGGCTATGGCAAATGAAAAAATAGAACAACTTGAAAACAAAATGCAAGGATTTGAAGAACGTATTAGAAAGCCTTATCCTAATGTCAAATATCTAAACTACCGTTCAAAAAAACGTATTTTGGTAAGATAAAAAAAATCACTCTTCCAAACTCATAGTTACAATTTTAAAATTAAGATAGGTATTATGTTTAATATCTTTCTTTTGTAGCCTTATGCTTTTATATTAAAAAATGTATGTCATAATGTTCTTTAGTTTATTTGTTATTTTAATATAATCATTAAGTAACCTAATGAGCCTAATGGTCTATATTTCCAAAGTCTTGAAAAATTACTTCAGTATGAAAAAAGTAAATCTTAGTAATTAGAAGTAATAAAAACTATAAAATTTAACACTAAAACTTAATTATTATAATTTGTATAGGAATTTACCATTCTTAAGTTTATATTTACATTTACTATTTAGCGTATATTTTTCATTTTAAATATTATATCATTATTTTTCAGGTTACTGGTGGTGCTGGTTTTGTTGGATCTCATTTGGTTGATAAATTGATGAAAGCTGGCCATGACATTACTGTTGTAGATAATTTTTTTACTGGTGTTAAAGCCAATGTCGAACAGTGGATTGGTCATGCTAACTTTGAGTTAATTCATCAAGACATAGTCAATCCTCTCTTTGTTGAAGTAGATGAGATTTATCATTTAGCTTCACCTGCATCACCTCCACATTACATGTTCAACCCAGTAAAAACAATTAAAACTAACACAATAGGAACAATTAATATGTTAGGTTTGTAAAAAAAAAAAAAACTATACATATAAAGAATCAATAATAAAATAGTAAATGTTAAATAAATTATTTATGATATAAAATTAAATTAAAAAATAATAAATACAATATAGTTACTCATTTTTTAATCAAATATTGTAAGTAATTAAAAGTAATATAAATTTTATAGATATAGATCTAATTTTTAATCATTAATACAAAAATTTGTTATGGAATATTAAAAAAACATCACGACTGCAAGTATTATCTCTGTTTTTTAAACATATAACATTTGTGTTTAGTTGTTACAATTTTGTATTGCTGACTTTTATAGTATAGTAAATTTTTTAAATTTAAATTTATGAACATTATCCGTGTTTTCTGTTTAATTATTTTGATTTTTAAACTATTGATGATGATATTTTTAAATTTTATATTTTATATTTTACATATTAGTGACTTGTAAATGAATAAAATATTGTGAATAAACGATGAAATAACACATAATGTTCTTATCTTTACATTTTATAATAGATTAATTTATTCTAATATTAAAGCTAAATTTGGAGTCACTGAACTCAATTTATTTTGTTGTCTGTTTCTTAAATATAGATGGCATATTATATCTTCTGAAGATAAGGCAATACAAATTAAATATTTTTTCAAGTGATCCCAAATTCATTGCCTTTTTTTAATTGTAGCACAATTACAAAATTCAAAACTGTATTTAAGAATACTATTTCTCTAGAACAAAACATTTAAGGCTAATACATATTTAGGATATCAAATTTATATATGAGGTAGTTTATTTATATTTTTTCTAAACACTTTTTTCATGGCTTTATTAAATTATCTTAATAGTTTCATTTTTGTATGACTGTTAGTTGAAAATAAATTTATCAATTATAACAATTTCTAAAAGAAAACATTGATTAATAGTATAGTTTTTAATTATGCTAAGTATAATTTTATTTTAGGATTGGCGAAGCGAGTTGGTGCCAAAGTCTTAATAGCCAGCACTTCTGAAGTCTATGGTGATCCTGAAGTACATCCACAACCAGAAACTTATTGGGGACATGTCAATCCAATTGGTATATATTCAATAATGTATAATTATTTTTATATTATAGTTGTAACTTGATGTGTTTAATATTTATTTGATAGAATCATTACAAATTTTATTTTATACATATTAGTATTTTTAAATATATAGTCCAAATTCAAAAATATTAAATACATATTTTTTTATATCATATAGCCTTTCAAACAACTGTGTGTATTATAAGTTAATATTTTCAAAATATAAGTCTTATTACTCTTTTTTAGATTTTGAACTAATTAATAACTTGAAACATTATATTTAACACATCAAGTTCTAAGGTTTAGTTTACTTTATGTTATTTGTTTTTTAACATTTTCATCCAATAACTGAAATTGTTATTTAATTAAGGTCCACGTGCTTGTTATGATGAAGGTAAAAGAGTTTCAGAAACATTGAGTTATGCTTATGCAAAGCATGAAAAAGTATCTGTACGTGTTGCCAGAATATTTAATACTCATGGACCTCGAATGCATATGAATGACGGACGAGTAGTTTCCAACTTTATATTGCAAGCTCTCCGAAATGAGCCAATTACCGTAAGAAATACAATGCTAAACAATATTTTTCAATTTTCATTTTTTTTTTTTTTTTTTTAGGTGTATGGTAGAGGTAATCAAACACGATCATTTCAGTATGTATCTGATCTAGTTGATGGATTGATTGCTTTAATGGATTCCAATTATACTCAGCCAGTCAATCTTGGAAATCCTACTGAACATACTATTAATGGTAAGTTTTACTATTGGTTCAATACCATTATAATTTAAAAACTTTACAAGTAAAGTATAAAATAAATACAATTACATAATAATTTATTTTATTAAATGTTAAAACATATTTAAATATGTCATCAAATTTCCATAGTTAATAATTTTTAATCTGTGTAGGATAATAATAATTAATAAATATATTAATACAAAAACATAAATAATATATTATGTATATGTGTTAACATAAGTACATTTAAAAAATATGAAAACTATCAAGTCAATTTGTATTGTTGCCTAAAGACTATGATATATTATCATATAACATATAAATTAATAACAATAGTTAAATGTAACTTAAAAATAAAGTTTTTTTTGAATAGTACAACTTAATAGTCAAATTTTTATAAATAGTATATTATTTATATAATATAGAATTTGCTGTAATAATAAAAGGACTGGTTGGTGGAAAAAGTAAAGTAATCACAACACCTGCTGTAGAAGATGACCCTCAAAGAAGAAAACCTGATATTACAAGAGCAATGACTTATTTAAATTGGAAACCTAAGGTATATTATATGGTTTTGTAATTTGTATTAAAATATATATTTATTATATAAAGTAAATTATATTGTACTTAGACTTTTATATTGATCTTAATGTATATAATCAATACTATTTCGTACAATATAAATTAAACATTTTGTTTTAAAACTAACTATAAACTGTTTTTAACTTTTACTTTTTGGTTTTATCTATGACTCTTTAAATGTTAAACTAAAGTCATAACTGTTCTGGTGAACTTACTATTGTGCTATTAATCAAACTACATGTTTGAATTGACTATTTAAAATAGTGATTAAATTATATCATGTAATATGTCATTTTTATTCTTGGTTTTAATAAAGATATATAAATTTACATTAAGAGGACATGATACCCGCATGTTTTGTTTCCATCTTACAAATGCATAACATACCAAATTTTACGCTTAACAGATCATGTTTTGTTTCGTTAGTTTAAAAATTTGAGTGAATTAACCTCTAATAAAATTTAAAGGTTAAAATATTATCTAGACAATCTTATAGGCTTTTTACTTTATTTTAATTTTGAAGCGAGTTATAAGTATTTTAAGACACATAAAAAACTTACAATTTTAAAATACTTATAA